GGGCCGTGCTGCTTTCTTTCCATGACTTTAGATCTCCCCAACTACAAAGGGGAAATGATAAAACCTACGTACCAAGGAGTTTTGGAGATTAAATGAAAGAGCGCATGATGTATCAGATATGAGCAGGATTATTCCTGGAACTTAACAAAAATAATTCAGAAGTACAGTTAGAAGAAAAATCAACAGATAATCCTATTATTGCAATATTCCCATAAGTAAAGAATTAACATCACAGTAGAAGCATTTTTTGAAAAACAGATAAAGAAGCCCTGAAAATTGGCAAGTTTAAATGAAGATCTGAAATATGATAAAGGATGCATTATAAAGGAAGAGAAAAGAGATGTTATCTAACAAACAGTGTTGAAAAAAATCAGCTACTCAGGGGAAACAAGTAAAGTTACATTCTCTCCTCCCCATAAATCATGTTCCAAAAATCCTGGTAAATTTAAACATTAAAATAAAATAGCCATAAAAATGTAAGAAAATGTGTTAACTAAGTGATTCCAAAAAAAGAGAATGACTGATAAATTTGACTGCATAGAAGTTAAAATATTTTGTATGTCAAAAATCATAAAGAGCGCTAAATGGTAAGTGATAAATGAAGAAGCTATCTGCAACCAACATGAAATGAAACCGTTAAGATTCTCAGTGTGTAGAGACCAACCCACAGGAAGAACACTCCCAATCTTGTTTTGAGTGGGACATAGGAAGATATTTTATTGAGGAAGAAAAGGAAATTTATTAGCATGTGAAAAATCTATACTTTTAGTGTACAAAACTGGAAATTAAAACAATATGCCATTTAAAGAGCCTCAAGTCAGCAAAGAGAAGATGTGCAAACACATCTGTGCAGAGGGGTGGTGGATGGAGAGCCACGAGGTGCTCTCCGGAATGGTGCTGACCATGGCCCTGGAGCCCAGCGCACCTTCTACCTGTGGATCCAGGAATCCCACTCTCAGTTCTCTTCGGCCACCGACAGGGTGACACTTGTTCCTATCTGCCAGCACACCACCTCCAGGCCTGTGCAAAGCACCTGCTGCCAGCAATTACTCCTTACAGACACAGAAAACCTGCACCAAACCAAAGAAAAGCCATAATTTCAGTTACCATGGAGACCAAAGGCTTGGCTTCCTCCTGTGCTGCGGGCCACTCCAGGGGCTTGGCCTGCTGAGGCGGTGGCCGCTGGCTGATGCTCCTGCCATGCTCACCATCTCCCACCCATGCTACTGGCTCTGACCCCAGGCCACAGTGACATCTTTCTCAGGAGGCCTCTCTGCGCAGTACCCGTGGCCTGCTCGTGTCCTGTCCCCTGACATCCCCTCTGAGAGCAGCTTCCTCTTCAGCCACAGCAGTTCTTGGCAGGGCTGAGTCAGGCCAGGGAGGCCAGGGAGGTGGCAGGACCCAGCCCTTCCCAGCCCCGCCTACCCATTCCCAGGAACGCCTCGGGAGAGAGCCCGAATCCAGAGGGTCCAACCCTGCAGGCTCACCCACCTGGGTCAGGGTCCAACCCTGCAGGCTCACCCACCTGGGTCTGCGTTTCAGCCAGCCTCAGGCTGTGAGCTCGGCTGTGTAGGGCCCAGACGTGGCGACAATGTCAGGACTGCCTGATAAAAAACCAGCCAGCAACACACAGGAGTGCATATGAGGGTCGTGTACACGTGTACCTGGGTAGATAATCCCGCATCTTCTTCTTCCTCCCGATCCTCTGCACCCTCTCTGGCTTTCTGTTGGAGCTCCAGGGCCAGGCCAAGAACCTGGCACACAATAAGTGTTTTTAAAATACTTGCTGACAAAATTTATAAATATATGCCTTAGATGGAATATTGTACATTAGAAGAGTTTTCATTAATGCTTAATAATGTTAGGCGATGCTCAGAACACACAAAGTTTTAAAAATAGGTTTAAAATGACTGTATGTGTGCAGTATGAAGCTAATTTTTTGAAGGAAACGAAAGATTAGTGCACACAGGAAAACTGGAAGAAAATGCGCCAAAATTCCACAGATAATTCTGTGAGTACATGAAATTTCAGGTAATATTCTAATTTTATTCTTCACAATTTTGTATAGTTTTCAAACAATAAGCATGGGTTATTTTTATAGTCATATAAAAGCACTCGTGTGTGTATGTGTGTGCACGTGTGCACTTATCTCCATGTAAAACATGTCTTTATTGACGGAGTTTAGACGCCCCTAAGGACATTCTTCTGCAGATGCCGTCACCCTGTTGTCTTTCTGCTGCGGGAAGCCGCCGTGTTCCTCGTGAGAGGTCGAGTCCTGACCCGCATTGACTCATTTCATGGCTCATCGCCAGGCACCTGGTTTGTAAAGGTCATCTCCTGCTCCTCCAGGTGGATCCTCTTAAGTGATGCTGTTACGCAGAGTCATCGTGTGTGAGCCCTGGGGTGGCAGATGCCGGGCACAGTGCTCCACACCATGAAGTCGGGCTCTTGCCTTCTAGAGTTCACGGCGCAGGAAAAGCACACGTTGGCAGACGCTGCACCTAAAAGTCGAGGCTCAGTTTAGGCAGCAATGCTGACCTTCCACGGCCTCTTTACCTGGTGACTTTATGTCCCTTACCTTATTCTTCTTCAAGATCTCCCCTGAGGTCACCTGTGCCACATGCCACCATGACCCTTTCTCGTCACAAACACTTTTATATTCATTTTCGTGCGCGTCTTCGTGGCAATGCCTGTGGGTCCCTGGCTCTTAGCTGGCTCTGTTCCCCTTGGTCACGAATCTCGCCAGGCTCACTTCTGAGAGGGGTGAGAGAGTGCCTCTTGTCTTATCGTTCCTTTTATTTTTATTTTTTATTTCTTAGCTTTGAAGGGGAATTTACTGGACTTCCAAATGCCTCTGCCGATTTTTCTGGCTTCTGGAAATGAACTTAATGATGACACTAGAGTCAACAGAGAGGTGCTCCCCGTCCGTGTGCAGCCCGTCCTGCAGTGGGGAGCCCTGTGGACCCCGTCAGCCACGGCCCTCTTCTCTGGTGTGAGCTGAGAGCCCAAGGGCTGAGTCACCCCCCAGCACAACCAGGAGTCGGTGCAGACTCAGGCCTTTCCAGTGCGCCCATTTCACTGGGTTCCGTTTCTGTGGGGAGATGGCAGCCCATCCCCCACAGGGAGTCGCTGCACTCCCAAGTGTCCAGCACAGGCCTGGCTCATCTCCTCATCCCCCAGGCCCTCCAGGACAGCTGTGGAACCAGGGCTGATGGCAGGCGTGGCTATAGTGGGGATGGCCACGCTGCCTGAGCCAGGACAGCTTGTTGTGCTGGACGAGCTGTGGAGCACAGAACGGGCACATCCCGTGGAGGACCTGGTCAGACTGGATGGGCCCTGGACATGGAGGTGGAGCTCACCACTGTGGGCAGTGTGTTTAGGACAACGTGTGCCCAAGTTGCACGAGAGGGAGCAGGGTAGGAGCCTCAGCCATGCCCCAGGTCCCTGCTCCCCGAGACACCAGGGCCCCTCCAGGATACAGGGCATGAAGGCAGGGTTCCCGGTGGCTCTCGGTGACATGGTCCACCAGCAAGCTCGCTGGCGGAGGAATGTTGCTTAGTGGACCTCCTCGTCCCTTGAGGCCCCCACATGCCGTCCATGTGGAGAGGCCTGGATCTCACTGGACTCCAGAATCGCCCACTCCACTCTCCCTTCTCATTTCCTACGTGTCCCTCAATCTGCGATCTGACGAGACCTGCAGCCTTGCCCTTCCCCGCGGGCAGGTGACCTACGGGTCCCTCCTTGGTGTGTCTGTGAGTTTCTCTGCTCCGTTGGCTGGAAGGTCCCACAGGGCTGTGGTCAAAGTGCCACAGACTGGGTGCTGTCCTGAAGGCACATCCTGCCTCGGGTTCTGAAGGCAGGGGCCCAGGGCCTGGTGTCAGCAGGGTTCCCCCCTCCGGGTTGGGGGTGGCTGCCCCTCACTGGGCCTCCACATGGCTGTCCCTGCAGGAGTCTGTGCCCCAGCTGCCTCCTCTTATAAGGACGCCAGTTGCCCTGGATTAAGGTCCACCCTAGTGACCTGCAGTATCTCTTTTAACACACCCATCTCCGCATCTGACCACATTCTGAGGTCCAGGGGGCTTGGGCTTGAATACTAATTTGGGGGCACGTTTTGGCCCATAACATCTGACATTAATCTTTTTTCCCCCTGTTTTAGTTATTCCCATTCTTTGTCCTGTTCCTTTCTGGATGTTGATGAAAATCACTTCTCAGCAAGTGGAGCCTCCTGACTCAGCACCCCGTGCCCAGCCCCAGCTGTGCAGCTTCCTGGCCCACATTCTCCCAGTGCTCTGAATCCTGTCTCCCGCTTCCTCTCCTTACAACCCCAGGTGAGTTTCCTCCGTCCCTTTATCTTGGCCAGCTTCTTTTCCCCTTGGCCTCTGGCCCTCAGTGCTGGGCCGTCTGTGCCACAGGTACTTATGAACTCACTGAACACTTCCTGGGCACCTTGGTAGGCTCAGAGGAGAGGATCTCGATGCCACCCTCCAGATTTCATGAGGGCCTGGGCCCCAGCCAAGCACTGGTCAGCCTCTGCTGAGCAGACGGCACTTTGCAGGTTCTCAGGACTCCTGTCCGAGAACAGTTCTCCAATATGTCGTTTGTGCAGCTTGGTCTGCTGGGGAAGGACTCAGGCCCTGCTCAGGGATGGAGACACTGAACCAGTGCATATAATGGATGCACCCAAGACGGCATGGAAGGTTCCCCTCTCCCACCCAGTTTAGGTGTTTCACAGATCATCCAATAATTTTCATCTTATTTGTGAATGTTTTAAGGATATTTGATGCTGGCACCATTGACAAATTGGAAATAGTGGGGCAGGGCACAGGTATTTGTTTCTCTGTTCTTTGAAAAAAAAAATCATGCATCAGGAATCCTGCAGGAGAAGACTTGAGGCAGTAAAGATGAACCCAGGTGACTGGGACCTGTCAGTCACAGCTCAGTCGGAAGACTCCCCGCCATTCTGCTGAAGGCCTTGGTTCCTGGTGGTCCGTGCCGCTGATCCCTGAGAAGAGAGGAGCTATCTGATGTGCCATCAGGCCGTGCGCATGACCCGGGCTCATTAGGCAAGACGATCCCTCCTGATGGGAGCAGAACTATCCTGTTGGAGGTGTTGCATCTGGAACCACACATTTCAGCACATCTGGAGAGTGGAGAAAAAACAACCCAGAAGCAAAGCATTGGTAAATGTCAGCTGTTTATTGATTTTCCTATTTGGAAGCAAAATACTGAGCCCAGCAACAGGAATTCAAGTCTGGAACCCACCTCTGGTGGCCAGGGGGTGACAGGAAAGTGGCCTGCTCTGGGAATGGCATCGCCGGGTGGGCGGGCGTTTCCTGAGTGCCTTCTGCCTCAACCCGCAGCTCTTGCTGCAGAGCCCTGCTGTAATGAACTCGCTGCTATTGTTGCGCTAAACACCAACAGTACGGGTTATTTTAATGGACATATTGCTTTAAACTGAGCGTTCACCATCTGTTCAGTCCTAATTTTGAATGCAAAAAGAACATATTTCACAATTACATCTGTAAGTAATGATATAAGTAATTTAAATGCATGTATATGTTCACACAATGCAGTAGACAGCTGGGATTTTTTCCCCTACTCTTATGTTTCAGGCACAAATCAAGGGAAAATATTCACTGGCTCCTTATATAGTGCATTTTCCCATTTATGTGAAGTTGTTTTTGCAGGAAACAAGGTTTTCAGCCCTAACCGTACCTAGGAGTTCAAGGCACGCTCAATAAACTAGATCACAAAGTCATTGTTACAACGCTCGCCTCGTCTCCATCCACATCCCCCCTGGCTTGAAGGACAGCTTGGCAGACGCAAGGCATCAGGTCCATCAGTTTCAGTAGAGGTCCAGCAGGGCCAGGGAGGGCTGTGTGGCCAGCATTTCTTCCAACCCTTCCTGTGGAAACAGACTGCTGGGGCACCCTGGCAAAAGGGGCCTCGGGGGTCATTGTGCCCTCAGGGCGGACATCCAAGGCAGAAGGCCAGCCAGAGATGGCGCCCGCTCTCCAGACACAGTCTAATCCAGGAGCACGCACCTGGGTGGAGCGGGGAAGAGGTGTTGGTGAGGAAAGGAGGTGCCATGTGTCGAAGATTAAGAAGCCGCACCCTGAGCTGGGGAGCAGGTGGAGACCCCATGGTTTCCCCGTGTCACATCTTTGGGTCCACGCTCAAGGCGAGACCTGGAGAACGCTGCTGCTGATATATGGAGCTGCAGAATGTAACTAAGGCTCACAGGATTCCAGGCGACTGCAAATAGGGAATCTGCCAGATGGTACCTCTGATATCTACTTTTCTCTTAAAAACTCAGTCCTCAAATACCAACATGTCACAGATGACACAAACCGCGATTGCTTTCTTAAAGGAGATTTTCTCCACCTATCACCAGCACATATAAAAACGTTTGCTGTTGTGATGTCCCATGACCCCATGAGGAGACAGAATTGTTTAACAGCTTTTGCATTGTCCACACTCTAAGTGAGGAACGGAGGAACTTATAAATCCTCCAGCGTGACATCATTGCCATTTTATATCTACATATTCCATATTTATTGTGCCTGTTTTTTTTTTTGGCATCTGTGTCATAGCTGACAGAGTGGATTTGCATGGGGACTTATGTTACCATTTGCAAGGACTCCCTATAGAGACACTTCCTGAGCTTGCGGTAGTTTTGATTTTTTAACTGCTTGTAGGCAATGCATTTATTATGGTTCTCAGACAAAGGTGTTAGCTTGAACTGATGGAAGGTTTATTTTTGGAACATTATTAACAGCTTAAAAATGTGGAGTGTTGTGTGAAGGAATCAAATTGCATTAAGGATTCTGCATAATTCCTTTTTATCGACTGTCGTTCACCTGCCCCAGGACAGGGGTCAGCTGCATTGGCCCCAACAGATCTGATGTCACTGTGGGCACATCTTTAGATAAAAAATACCCTCTCTGACTATTAAAAGGTTTCCTGATTGGCCCTAGTATTAATTTATTTAGAACTTTCAACTCTAAATCCACTCTTAATTTAGTATTTATTCTCATTTGATTAAAATTGTCAATGAATTACATCTTCAAAGAAATCGAGTGCACTCTCCAATCGCACAGCTTCCCTAAGCGAGTTCAAAAGGAAGCTATAGAAAGTGAGATGCAACCATCGCCCCTGCTGTCCGAGAGGTCGCTGCCGCGCAGCCCACCCCAGTGGGCCAGGAGTTTTCAACGCAGGGTCCCTCGAGATGGCTAGAGCAGTGCTGTTCAGAGCCTGTGCACCAGGGCAGCAGCGGCTGGCTGAGGCTCTCCTGGGGCTGGGTCTGCCGTGAGGCTCTTGGTGGTGCAGACCAGGGCACTGGTCTTCCTGGGCTGTGAGTCTCCCTGGGGCGGAATGGGCCAGTCAGTGCGTGGCCTCAGAGCTGGAGGGCGCGCAGAGGCACCTGCAGGCCTGGCGTCTGGGTGCTGCACACCTGTTAGGCCTTCTGAGGGGCTGAGCTGGTCCTCCTCTCAGATACAGAGGAAAAGGCCACAGCTTCCTGCTGCTGGTGATGCTGGAGCAGCCACTTCCTGGGCTGGCGAGGGACTCCATCTGTTTGAATGAGCTGCCGAAATGCGAGGCCCATGCACCCCGGGCCCCAGGGAGGACGATGAGGCTTTCACGGGATGATTGTGAGGGCTGGGATCTGGACACCGAGGCCAACAGGCTGTGACTGTCCCACAGCGTGGGCCAGTATGAAAATAGGCAAAAGCAGTGTAGTCCTACGAGGGGAACGAGTGCATAAAGCGGGGGCCCAGAGCCCACTTCCTCTTCCTCACCACGGAACAACAGAAAAGGTTTTCAGTCCTCAGGAGACACGTTCAGATTGTCACACCTGCCAGGCCAGGGACACCTCACGCTCAACCCCTGGGTGCCTGTGCCCTGTGGGAGACGCTCTTCAGACAACACAGGTCAGACGTGCAGTTGGCACTGGGGACGCGTCGCCTGTGGGATCTCAGCCACGGTCCTGGTGTGTTTGGGCAAAGGAGCCCAGTGAGCATGACGAGACGCTGGTTTGATGGGGACCAGCCTCCCAGTGGGTGAGGGGGGCTGGTCCCCAGCCTTGGCGTGACGTCAGAGCAAGTTGCCGTGCAGTTTGGTAATGGCTTTTAAGTGGTGCTGGACCCACAGTACATAAAGTCCCCGCTCAGGGTTAGGTTCTCTCTCTTGTCTTCCTCAACTGGGGTCTTATTTTGTTTTCAATTCTAAAGCATCTGGAGAAGGTGAAACCATTTTCTAAAGTATTGGAAGAAGCAGATGTCAGAAGTCCTTCCAGCCTCCTGGACACACAGGGGATTGGTTGCTGGCTGGAGGCCGCCGGGACGGTGAGCAGGGAGGTGCTGACTTGGGTGGTCTACTCTCCGGCCTCTTAGGCCATGACGACAGAGAGCCTCAAGCAGAGAAGTGTGACTCCTGTAGGCAGCAGCGCGGCTGGACCTGCCGCCCACCCTGCGCCCACTCACTGACTGCGTTGGGGGTCTGGGGATGAGCTGTGTGCGGGGGGCCTTGGCAGGGTGCTCGGGAAGGTCAGGAGCTGGGGTGGGCAGGAGGGTTGAGGAGCAGAGCAGACCGAAGTGGGCTTGGTAATACAGCCTGAGGGGCGTGCTACATTTGGGGGCCCTGGCAGCGGCTGCCCCTGCAGCTGGCAATGGAGATGGCTGCAGCCCCAAGGACGGAGCCAGACGCAGCTTCATAGCTGGAGCGGGTCTCACTCAGGGCCAGGAGCTCTGAGTTTCCTAATTAAGCAGCCCTTAAGAACACCTAGTTAAATGGCAGATTCCAATGGGAGGCTGGAGATGCCTGCCAGGGGCCAGCCAGCTTCCCACCTCCCTTGGACACAGCCACGGGTTTTCATAGGGTGACAGGGAGGGGTCTGGGGGACAGGATGTCACACAGCACAGTGTAGGCTCCACGCCCCTCCTGGCTGCACTGGTTTAGATCCGCATGTGTAGGA